GAGGATAGTGTGGGGGGGTCAATTCAAGGAGATGAGTTCGTTCCACCGGTGCTTTCTAACCCTCCTTCTCCTCCGTCTAATGCTCTCCCACCTGTGGGATCCCCACTTGGATCAGACCAAACCCCACGCCCAAGAGAAAACACTGGAAGTACGGCGAACTTGGGAGAAGAAGGAACACAAGGGGTGGTGTTGGCCTTGATGCAGATGGTGGCGAATATGAACAAAGACATGATGGAGGAGAGAAGATGTAGGGAGGAATGGGAACAGAGAAGAGAAAGGGATACAGTGGGCGGGATTGCAGAAGGGATATCAGAAGGGGTGAGGTACGCCATGGGACGGCAAACTTCGGCGACCCCAAGCGTAGTGGGCGAACAACGGAAAGGGATAAAGCTACCTAACCCAGACCTATGGAGAGGAGATCGGAACAAGTTAACCGCCTTTCTGTCTGAGTGCGACGTACACTTCGAATTGAACTCTCATCTTTTCCCCGACGACACTAAGAAAGTCTTTTTCATGATCTCTCATCTACGCGAAACACCTCTTCTTGCAGTGCAGCCCGATCTATCCAAAAGACCTCTTCCTGAGTACCTCACGACACACGATCAGTTCGTTAAGTACCTCAAGACTAACTTTGGTGATCCGGACGAAGAAGGAACTGCGGCCCGACAACTTAACGACCTCAAGCAAACCGGGTCTGCTTCGGACTACTTCTCCGCCTTTCAGCGACATGTTGCGATTCTCAAGTGGTCTGATGATGGAAACCTAGTTGACCGAGCCAAGAAAGGACTAAAATCGCACCTTCTAGATGAAATCGCAAGACACGGTAGATCGTTTGGGACTGTAAAAGAGCTATTGGAGTTTGTGATTCCCTTGGACAACCGCCTGTGGAGGAGACAAGTGGAGAAGGAGGCAGAGAGGAAAAGGGAAGGAGGGATAAGGACAACGACAGTGGTGGAAAGTCAGAGGACGGAGAAGAAAGAAGAGAAGAAATGGGAAAAGGGGCAACCTTCGGCGCAGGGTGGTGCCCAGGCGGCTATGATGTCGACGGTGGTAAAGAGTACACCGCCAAACATCGACGAAGTTCGCCGAAGATGGCCTAGGCCGAGCTCCGATCTGAGGGAGACAAGGAGGAAGGAGGGGAAGTGTACCGAGTGTGGTGAAGCAGGACATTGGCTGAAGGAATGCCCTGTAAGGGAGGCTAAGGTTAAGGTTGGACTGTTGCCTCCATGGGGGGAGAAGTTCGGAGAACGTGGTGGAGGATCGGGAGGGAACGCAGTACCTCTCGGACAGAGGAGGAACTTGAATGCGGTTGGAGGAGAAGTAGATTTGGAAGAGGACCAGGGAAAAGAAGAGGACCTGTCGCAGTAGGCGAGGCTCGGCGGGTCCGCCATATTCTCTCGGCCACCATTCCCAAACCCATAAAAGAAACACAGCTGATGGAGCCAGAGGATTGTGAATACAAAAATACACCACTCAGTACCCCTTGTTCATGCAATGTCGATAATCATCTCCTCATCCCTTCCGTTTCCAGAGATCAACCTAAATCGGACATTTTCATTAATGGAATGAAGCTAACTACGCTCTGGGACACCGGGGCTACTTGTTCATATATAAGTCCTAGAGCGGCGACGAAGATAGGCGCAGAAAGGAGACAATATCAGGTGAGCGTACCCGTTCACATGTTCGACGGCTCGGTGAGTGTCGCGGGACCTATCACCGAGTTTGTCGAAGTCGGATTTAGTTTGACGAAGGACGCCGAAGTGCGATCTGTTCGTCTCGATGTAACAACGCTCTGCGACGCAGATGTTGTGATAGGGTGGGATTGGATGAGGAAGGAAGGGGTTGTCCTTGATGGAAGAGACAACTCGGTGAAATTTCCCATCCCAGCCTCACCAAGTGCGGCGAAGTTAGCGGCCATAGGGCTGCCGACTCCGACGGACGCGATAGATCTCCGAGACAAAGATGACCAGGATGAACTGAGTCCGGAGGAACAGGAGGAATTGTATCAGGTGGTTCCTGAACAATACCACTCGTTCATTGATGTTTTTAACCCAAGGAAGGGAGGTGAAGAATTACCTCCCTCGAGGGGCTATGATCTGGAGTTTGATCTTAAGGAGGGGGCGAACCTGAAGGTTGCTCCACTCTACTCGCTTGGAGAAGATCAGAGAAGTGCGCTGAGAGACATCCTAGATCGCGAAATATCGGCCGGAAGAATTCGACCCAGTAATTCGCCCTATGGATCACCGATGTTCTTGGTACCGAAGAAAGCAAAAGGTCAATGGCGAATGGTCATTGACTACCGAAAGTTAAACGAAGCAACGATACCCGACGCCTATCCACTGCCTCTGATCGGTCAGATAACCGAAGAGCTAGGAAAAGCGAGGTACTTCAGCAAGTTAGATCTGATTGGAGCTTATCAACTCCTACGGGTAAAGGAAGGACACGAACACCTGACGGCGTTCAGAACTCAGTACGGTATGTTCGAGTCTCTTGTTGTTCGAGATGGTCTGCGAAATGCTCCTGCTGTATTCCAGCATTTCCTAAATGAAAGCTTCAGAGAACTGTTGGGGAAAGGAGTAGTTGTCTATATAGATGATATACTCATCTATGGTCAGACGTTGGAAGAGTTGAGAGGAACTACGGCGAAGGTATTCGAAGTTCTTCGAAGGTCGAATCTGTTCGTCAAGGCTAGTAAGTGCGAGTTTGAAAAGGACTCGGTAGTCTTCTTGGGTTTTGTGGTCTCACGGGAGGGAGTTTCTAGTAATCCAGAGTACATCGACGCTGTTGTGTCTTTTCCCCGTCCCAAGAACCTAAGAGAGAGCAGAGGATTTATGGGAGTCGTTAGTTATTATCGGCGTTTTGTCCCCAACTTCTCTAGGATTGCTAAACCGATCAATGACCTCACAAGAAAGGATGTACCGTTTGTCTGGGGTATGGAGCAGGAAAGAGCTTTTAAAGAGTTGAAGGATAGAATGTGTAGGGCCCCGGTATTGGCTCACTTTGATCCCTCGTTGAAGACATTACTACAGACAGATGCCTCGTTCTTCGGGTGGGGTTTCATAATATCGCAGGTGAACGAGTTAGGACAAGAACATCCGGTAGCGATCGAGTCAGGAGCGTTTCAAGCGGCGCAGTTAAACTACACGGTAGGCGAGAAGGAACTACTAGCTATCGTTGAGGCTTTCAGAAGAAGGAGACACTTACTGTTACAGGTAGAAACTACAGTTCTCACGGACCACTTGAACTTGACATACTGGATGGAACCGAAGCAGTTAAGCCCGAGGCAGGGCAGGTGGGTCGAAGAGCTTTCTAACTTTAGGTTTAAGATGGTGTATCGACCTGGGAGACAAGCTACACTGCCGGATGGACTATCGAGAAGAGCAGACTACCACTCTGGAAAAGGAAGTACTATGGTGCAGGAGAGCAACCTTATTCAAGGGTTGCCGAAGTTCGACGAACTCGACGGCACTAGCTCTGGGTTACAACACCTACTTCGCGCTTTGCAAGGGACGAAGGAAGTAAGAGAGAGTGACCTTATTAATCCTATGGATTTGGTAGTTGGAATACAGGAAGACGAAGAGGTGGAGGAGGTTAGAGAAGAATTACTGGGGGTAACCTGTGCTAAGTGCTCTCATCTGACATGTCACGATAATGTGCAGGAACCAGAGTCGGTCACCGAACTACGCCGTACCTCGCGGTCCCCCTTAATACTTCGTGGGGGATGGAATTCAAGAGGGTTCCTCACGTTCGATGGTCGAACTTATGTGCCGAACTACGCCGATGCTCGACTAAAGATAATGAAGACGCGGCATGACTCGGTCCTAGCGGGTCACCCAGGCTCAGCGAAGACTCTCGAGCTAGTCCTACGGGACTACGTTTGGGTTGGAGTAAGGAAGGATGTTGAAGATTACATCGCTGGATGTGCGGTGTGTCAGAGAGCAAAGACTAACAGGCAGAGACCCCATGGAGAGCTTAAACCACTGGAAGTGGCTACGAAGCCATGGTCCAGCATTTCGATGGATTTCATTGAAGAGCTCCCGAATTCCCATGGATACAATTCCATCTTAGTGGTGGTGGACCGGTTGACCAAATGGGCCATTTTTATCCCGACTACGACGAAGTTAACCGCAGCTGGCCTATCCGAGTTGATAATGGACTATGTGGTAGCTCAGCATGGGCTACCAGAGAACATAGTGTCTGACAGGGGATCGAAGTTTACCTCGAAATTTTGGAAGAACTTGACCGATAGTCTCGGGATAAGACTACATCTCTCTACTGCATATCATCCGCAGACTGATGGACAGACTGAACGAACCAACCAGTCCTTAGAGCTCTACCTTCGAATCTTCACTTCTTATCAGCAGGACGATTGGTCGAAGCTGCTTGCTCGAGCCAGCTTCGCCTACAACAACACCCATCATTCTGCGATAAATAAGACACCATTTTATGCGAACTATGGGTACCACCCTCGATGGGCTGAAGAAATTAAGGCCAGCGAAGTCGAAGTGCCCGCTGCTACGGTGGTGGTAAAAGACTTGACCGAAATACACAAGGATTGTATCGAAGGAATTAAGAAAGCTAATGAGAAGTACGCCGAAGGATACAATAGGAAACACCGGGCTACGCCGAACTTCGCGGAAGGAGACCTAGTGATGCTGTCGTTAGAGAATATTAAGACGAAGAGACCAATGAAGAAGTTAGATGTTAAGCAAAGTGGGCCGTACAAGGTAGTACGGCAGGTAGGTTCTCATGCTTGTAAACTGGAATTACCAGGAACGATGGCAGGTATCCATGATGTATTCCATGTCTCCTTGCTCCGTCCTTATCACCCTCCAATATTTCCTGGTCAGCAAGCTGAGCCACCTGGCCCAGTAGAAGTAGACAATGTGGGAGAGTCTTGGGAGGTAAAGGATATTGTGGACTCTAGAGTAAATAAGAGGTCAGGAAAGTTAGAGTACTTGGTGGAGTGGTTAGGTTACGAAGGAACAGACGATTCAGTATCATGGGAACCAGTGGAGAACGTCGATGGAGCTGATGACATATTGGCGAAGTTCCACGAACTTCACCCTACTAAGCCGAAGGAGGGGCGACTGCGAAGGGCTAGGAGATAGAACGTACTGCATACAACATAGGATTACAGCTACGTACCGCTCACTTGTCCTTACTCTTACCCTTACCTTTTCCTTTTCCTTTCTCCTTCGATCTACTCGGTCCCGCGGGATTGGTGTGGAGGCTACCGATGACCGAAGGTAGATCGAGAGTCTCAGACGGGAACGCAGTAGAGAGAGAAGCATTCCATGCCCGATTCATAGCCCCAAAGAAGTCACCGAAGTCCTGGACATCTCGAGCAGCTTGCATGCTCGGAGTCCTCCACAGAGAACGTATGGTCCGTAGACACTCGAAGGGAAGACTGAGGAGGTCGAGAGCAGTCTGGGCGGAAGCTGGGACACGAGAACTACTACGGCGACCTAACCAGTCAAGGGACGGTGGTGGCTCATACGCCATAGGAGTGACTAGGAAGGGGGTGTCGAACAGTCTTCGGCGAACATCGGCTATCTCAGTAAGGCTTCGGCGAGAGACGTCCGCTAACCTTGTCCTTGCTTCGTCGTCCAGAGCCCCAGCGTTGACTACATCTACTAACGCCGCAGTAAGATTGTTTAAAGCGTTAGCTTGACGAGAAGAGAAGTTGAGCAGGAGAGATGTATCATTTCGGGCGGCCTCAAGCTGAGTAGTGAGACCGAGGACGAGAGAACGATAAGTGGCGAATTCCTTTTCGTCCTCAGGAATACGGACGTCCAGGGAGATACGAGGGTGGACGAGGGACAACCGGGGAGCAGAGGGACCAGCACGCTGAGTATCTTCACCTTCCACATCACCATCATTGAAGGCAACCTCCTTCCCTTTAGATTTCCCTTTTGATTTCTTTAAAGAAGACTTCGGTGTCTTCTGGGAAGCAGAGGGAGGGGTGACGGGAGGGGCCGCCGAAGCGGCCGGAGGAACAGAAGGACGCCGACTTCGGGTGCTGTGAGCCGGAGGAGAAGCTACCACTGGAGAGGACGGACGTGGCGCCGAAGGACGAGAGGCCGAAGGACGGCGGGAAGACGAAGGAGGAACAGCCGGGAGACGTGATGGGCCGGCCACATGTAACGGTACTGGAAACACGACGACTAGGTCGCAGGTTGGGTCGAACTCGATGGAGGTCTCGTGGAAATCTAGGGGCTCTGGTGCTAATGGATCGTGTCTCCTCTGCAATCGATGTAGCCAAAGAATGATATTGAAGAATCAGCAAAGTTGGTACTTTGCTGATTGTACTATATACTGTCTACAGGTATCCGTGTCCTCCTCTCAGTTCCTACTGCAAGCGTCTATGTACATACTCGGACAGGTGAAAAACCGCTTTTGAGCAAACCCAGTGGGGAAATCTCGAAAAGGGAAAACCCGTCCCTACCTACTGCAGCACTGCCTCCAACTCCCGCCGTTCTCCTTCCTAATCCGTCGAACTCGATGGAGTTCTCTCGATTCGTTGTTACCCCGTAACAAGTTTCCCCCCCTGTCTCAAGGATCCTCGCCGAGGATCCTGAACCCTGTAACCAGGTGATGCACATGGATTGTTCTTAGACACCTTTGGTGCGCCCTGACATCATACCCACGCTAGTGTGACGGTTGCCATGAGAACGCGTCACCCGCACGGACCTCCAATGTGATCGAGAAATTACTGACCAAGTTACCTCCCCGTCTTCTTTCTCTTCTTTCCTCTTCATTCTCTCTTTACCTCTTGTTCGTCGCTCTTTTTACTTATCTATCATCATCCATCCATATCTTACTCATATCTTAGAGATCCTTCCAACTCTGACCTGTCTGTGAGCATGTCTAAGCGTACTGTAAGCAATTCCCTTCGAATTCGATGTATATCCTCCTGTTTATCACTGGCTGACGAGATTAGTTGTCCTCGTCTATCTCTTCTCGTCAAACTCGGGCCTCTACTGTGGCCATCCTCCCCGACGTCGATCCCGAACTTCTCATGCGTCAAACGAAAAGAATGAGAATTACTTCCCAAGCGCTAGTTCCCTCTCAAACTCCATTGGTTGACGCTTCTCGAAGGGCTCTCGACACCATTAAGGATCGATATCAATCCGGCCCTTCTCGCGACCAACAATCGTCTCTTCTCGATGACGAGGTCATCGAGCAATATATCGACTTCGAAGGGGGGGCAGGGCCATCTGCCACTGGTGAGAACCCATCTCCTGCGAAATCTGTCGAGTCCGAACACGGTACCATCGTTGAAAATCAAAATTCTCCTGGTAATAAGTCCCCTGTGCCACCTTCTGATTATTCCGAGGGGCTTGTCGAGGTTCCCCATGAACTCGAAACCATTTTTCACGCCCCTCGCAAGGTTCCGGTCAATGATGAACTTGCTAAGGCTCTGGATGCTCGAAAAGACTCGGAAATTGGTGAGATTTCTACAGAATTCTGTGCGTTTCTGACTCGTCAGCTACCCTCTGGGCCCGCCTTTCATTCCCCTCTGTTCGTCACGCTCTGAAGGATGAAGCCCTCGACCGCTTTCGCGAGACTGGGGCCATCAAGCCCACTGTCAAGTGGTTTGGTAACGCCGTGAGCTTTTTCTCCTTCGTATTCCACCGAATTCTAACTGTTAGCTTGATCGCTTGGCCCAAGGTTGGCGACTTCGTAACAAGAATGGCGCTGTTGTCCGTCTCGAGGGTGAGCTTTGCTCCGATTGCCAGCGTCGTCTCGATGGTGGAGAAGATTTTCGTGTAGGTTGTATCGGTCCTCGTGAGTCTTCCTACTCTTCCTGTTCGATATTGATGCAACTTAGTTGGTGGTGTTTGTGGAGAGTGCTCCGCGAAGGGAACTTCAAAGTGTTCGGTGAAAACCAACAATCCCGAGTCCAAATTTCGCGAGGTATCTATCTTCTTCCTTCGAACTTGGTCGATGTTGATGTAAAGGGTATTACTGTCGGAGCCCAGACTGTTACTTCCAAGGTTACCTTCGTCCTGGAGCACGAACTCTGTGCTGTCTCGGCCCGATATCGATCCCTTTCCTCCCAGGATCAATCCTCTTCTCTCACCCAACTCTCCGCTTACATCCACCTCTTTTCCTCTCTCCTTCTTCCTCTTCCCCCAGTACATCTGGGCCTCTACAAATCTCTTCATCTCATTCCTTCCAACTACACCCCTCCCTCTCCTTCTGAAACCTTGGATCATCTCACCTCTGCTGCTGATCCAACCGGATTGACTTCTTCTCAACCAGTCGCCGGTCCCTCCTCTTCTCCCCATACTCCTCTCCCCCGCAATGTCATTCGTATTCCCGCCTCGGTCCGTCGTCCCCGAGCCAATTCTACCACCTCCAACTTCTAGTGTATTTTATATCTCTCTATACGTAGCCATATTTCCTGTGTATGTATTTATTTCCCAATAAATTCCGTTGATTTTGATCGAATTCTCACTTTCTTCTGGGATCTTTTTTCCTCTTTTCCAGAAATTCACCAAAAACGGCCAACTCTTCTACATTTTCTCGTGGTTCCCAGTCATAGGCCGCATTCCCTGTGTATCCTAACCATTTTACCTTGAATTCCTCCTTTCCTCGTCGAATTCTACTGTCCACAATTGCTTCCACATGGAATTCCTCCTGGCCGTTTATTACTACAGGTGGTGGGGGTTGTATCTGTCGACCTGGTATCATGTCTCTAGGATATGGTTCCAACAACGTGACATTGAAGACATTGTGCACTCTCATTGATGGAGGTAGATCTAATTCGAAAGCATTTTTCCCCACTCTCCTTATGATCTTGAAGGGGCCAACGTATTTTGCTTCTAATTTTCGACTGGGTCTTTCCGTCGTAAGATACTTCGTACTCAGTAGTACCTGTTCTCCCTCTCTGAATTCTTCTGGTACACTCTTGTGTCTCCTGTTGTAGTATTCGGCACTAATCTCATTAGCCATCCTGACCTGTTCTTGAACAGCCGCATGTAACTCTCCCATATCCCTCCATTTCCTCTCCAACTTGTTTGACTTTGATCGAATATCGTGCGAATGGATGTCGTAGTGTGGCACATAGCCGTAACAGGCTTCAAAGGGACACAGACCGTGGCTACTATGTGGCGAACAGTTATAAGCGAACTCAGCAATTGGTAGAAGTTGATCCCAATTGTCCATGTTGTAGTTTACATACATTCCGAGCAGGATTTCCATCTGTTGATTTACTCGCTCAGTTTGTCCATCTGTTTGAGGGTGATACGCAGTCGAGTATAAGTTCTTTATTCCCAAGAACTGACATATTTCCTTCCAAATTTCCGCCGTAAACTGAGTTCCCCTATCTGACACAATTGTTCGAGGTACTCCATGTTTTGAAAAGATCTCCTTGATGTAGATGTCGGCCACTTTGTTCGCTGTTAGTCCAGTTGTACATGGAATAAATCTAGCCATCTTGGTTAGTCGATCGACTATCACCAGTATCGCGTCGAACTCGGTCGATTTTGGTAGGGGTCCCACCATATCCATAGAGATATCTGTCCAGGGCAGTGTGGGTACTGGTAAAGAGACCAGATGTCCATACGGCTGGTGTCGATGAGTCTTGTGTCGGTTACAGATCTCGCATCCTTTTACGTATTTTGCAATATACTCGTCCAAATGTGGCCAGTAATAGTCCTCTTTGACCATGGTGATAGTTTTGTCTCTTCCTGGATGACCCACTAGCATCGAATCGTGTCTTGCTTTCATTACTTCTAATCTTGCCTGTCCCTCTGGTATGACTACTCTGTTTTTGTATAAGAGTAATCCGCTCTGTGTCCATGATACTATTGGTGTCTCGCTGCTAGCCTGTGTCTTCTGTGTGTCCTGTGTGTTCTGGGTGCTCTGTGTGCTCTGTGTGCTATGTGTCTGTGTCATCTGTAGTCCTAGTTGTCGTATGTTTGCTATGTCTTCTGAGTCTTTCAGTCCGTTCTTGATGAGTCCGAATAATGAGTCTTCCCGGATTGCTCCTCTTACTATGTGTCTTGGTCCTTTGTGTTCTGAGTCCATTGAATTCGATCCAATTTGTTCGTGTGTCGGTAGCAATTGTAGCCAGTTGCCTTTGTTAAGATTCGGGTCCTTGCTACTCCCTCTTCCCGGATGATAATCTCCTCGTCTCGTCAGAGCATCTGCTCCCCCATTTTTGCTCCCTGGTCGATAAGTGATCTCTATGTTGAAGTCTCCCAATATTTCCAACCATCTCATCTGCCTTCGATTTAGTTGTCGTTTGCTTTGGAAGTATTCTAGGTTCTTGTGATCGGTAATGACCTTTATAACATCACTACTGTTAGCCAAGTAGGGTCTCCAGGCGACCAAGCAATCCACGATGGCTAATAATTCTTTCTCTCCCACCGTGTAGTTTAGCTCACAGGGCGTCATTGCTCGAGACCAGTACGCTACTGGGTGAAGTTCGGTGGTTCCTTTTATTGATGGGTGAGGAAATCTCTGAGACGCTATCGCACCTATCGCGCAATCGGATCCATCGGTTTCAATCCAAGTCGGTCGGGTTCTATCAAAATGTCGAAGTACTGGTGCTGTGGTGAATGTTTTCTTTAGATCGTCAAAAGCCTTTTGGCATTCTTGTGTCCAGTTCCAAGCTTGATCCTTCCTGGTCAGACGGGTAAGAGGACCCACAATATGTGAGAATCCTTTGATGAACCGTCGATAGAAATTGGCAAATCCTAGAAAAACCTGAGTATCTCGGACTGTCATTGGTTCTCCCCATTCTAGAATGGCTTTCACCTTGTCTTGATCCATTTCGATCCGTTCGTGTCCGATTACATACCCCAGAAACTTCACTTCGTCGCAACTCCATTCACACTTCCTCGGGCTAACAACCAAGTCGTTTTCAAGTAATCGGTCCAATACCTTTTGGACAATTATCTGATGGTTTTCGATCGTGTCTGAGTATACCGTGATGTCGTCTATGTAAACTACCACTCCTTCATCTAACAGGTCGTGGAACATATCCTGCAGGAAGTTTTGAAAGGTGGCTGGTGCGTTGCATAATCCATCCCGTAGAACAGTGCTTTCAAAACTACCGTATCGTGTTCGTAGAGCAGCTTTATGTTCATCTCCTTCTTTTATTCGAACTAACTGATAGGCCCCTTTCAGGTCGAGTTTGGTAAACACCTTTCCCAATTGAAGTCGATCGAGTAAGGTCGAGATAAGTGGCATTGGGTACGAATCCTTGATGGTTACCTTGTTAAGTGCCCGGTAATCTGTAACTACTCGATAGGGAATGACTCCTTTCTTGGGGACCAGGAATACTGGGGACCCATAGGGCGATTTACTTCTTCGTAGATGTCCACTAGTCAGTCCATCATTGATCCACTGCTTCAGGAAAGCATCCCCATGCTCGTCCAGTTGGTAGATTGGTCCTGGTTTCAGTTCAGCCCCTGCTACTAATTCGATTTCGTGGTCACATTCTCTTCTTGGTGGTAGTCTTCTTGCTCTTTCTACCTTGAATAATTCGAGGTACTGGTGCCATTGTGTCGGTATGATTTGTCGTAGTTCCTCCTCACTCATTTCGTCCTCCCCTTTCTCCAGTGTTGCTCCTCTTATTAATCCTTCTTCTAATCTTGGGTATTTCCAACCAGTATCTCGTCCAATTCTGTCGAATTCGATCAGTCCCTTTCCACAATCGATCCTTGCCCTAAACTGTCTCAAGAAATCTAGTCCTACTAGTACTTCTGGTCCTTCGTATGCCATAACATCCAGTCGAGTTGCAATCCTGAGTCCTTTTCCTAGATCTAATTCTGCTTCTACATATTCGGTCACTAAGGTCGCGGTAGTTCCATCCAGGAACCTAATTTTTCGTGGTACCTGATATTGTTTCTTTGGGAATAGATGGTATAATGGACAGGCCGGCTGCACATACCTTCCTGTAGCCCCGGTATCGATTAACATTCCAATCTGTAGGGTATCTTTTTTTGTTTGTATTTTTATATATATTATGGCCGAGTCATTACTGAGATCTATTGGTATTTGAATTTTCTGCGATCCGGGCAGATCCTGGCCGCAAGTGGTCGCATCACTTAGGCCAGGTAGTCGTTTCCCTCTTCTTCAAAGGTCACCGCCATTCCTCGAACTAATGGCCCTTTGGATCCAGTTGGGATCGAGTTCGATCCACTAGGAATCGGTGAGCTATGCGGGTTTGGGGATCCCCTAATGTTGTTTCTCGTATTTCCTCCATTTGGACAGTTGTTGGCGTAATGTTCTGGACTTCTACATTTGAGACAACGTCGGTTCTCCCTCCTCCAAGTCATTTCGTTCTCGCTGAGACGTCCTCCGTCCTCTGTCCAAGTGACCGGAGGGTCATTTGGTAGACCATAATTCATCATCCCTGGTTTTCCACCGGGCAAGGATCCTCTACCAGTCGATTGTGAGTGGCGCTCTACCGGGTTGGGCAAACTAGTATCCAATCGCATCGAATTCGATCGAGGAGGAAGCCAGGTCGTCTCATGTTTGCGTCTAGCAGCCCATCGATTCGCTGCAATCATCGTTTCAGCCATCCGTTGGTTCTCCTCAGTCCCTATCACATGCTGTTTGAAATAGATCCAGTCCGATTTGGTTCGAGGGTCGGTGTTATTTACCACTACCACCTTCAGTAGCTCTTCCTTCAGGCCCTGTATGGCTGAGGCGATTTTCATTGCATCTGGTACCTTTCCAAGGTGTGTGGACCAAAGTTCAAAGTTGGCAAAATACTCGGCGGCCGTATCCGTCTGTCTTAACTCCTGCAATTTCCTCATAGCCGTACCTGCCATGTTACTGTCTCCAAATTGAGTTCGTAAATGCTGGATGAATTTGTCGTAGCTCTCTAGCCATTCGGTCGAATTCCATATACTTGGATTGGTTATGGCCGGGGTTATAAGCATTTGAGGGGTGCCTCGAAGATACCCGTACATGAACAGGATCTTTCTGCGATCGGTGGCGTACTCTGCCCCTTTGAATTCGAAGTTCATGTGACATGCTGCAAGGAAGTTGTCCAATTCTCCTCGTTCTCCACTGAAGGTAGGTGGATCCGCACACCTGGTTCTTCCTGTTCGTTCGTTGTTGGTAAGTTTTGGCTCCAAACACGGCTTGTTTTCTTCGACTTCGATCAAACTTGCCCCTTTCGATGTGAGTATCTGTTGGTTCTGTCGGTCAGCTTTCATCGTAGCCAGTTCTTCCCTTAATGCATTTTGTTCCTTTTGTTGCATCGTCATAATGGCTAACAATTGTGACAACTGCTGCGATAATTCATTTAGCGGATCTGGGGTAGTGGTAGTAGAAGTGAGATCATGTGAAATGGTACTTCTCGAAGAACTTGTTGGTATTTCTTCCTCTGGGACCAGCCCTTGTTCCAACTCCTCTTTTTCTGGTATCATTTTCCGCGCTTTCCCTCTGGTGAGCATACAGTACTCTCCGATTCGACCCAAGGTGCGTAAGGCTGATTCTTCAACTTGTAACGGTACTGGAAACACGACGACTAGGTCGCAGGTTGGGTCGAACTCGATGGAGGTCTCGTGGAAATCTAGGGGCTCTGGTGCTAATGGATCGTGTCTCCTCTGCAATCGATGTAGCCAAAGAATGATATTGAAGAATCAGCAAAGTTGGTACTTTGCTGATTGTACTATATACTGTCTACAGGTATCCGTGTCCTCCTCTCAGTTCCTACTGCAAGCGTCTATGTACATACTCGGACAGGTGAAAAACCGCTTTTGAGCAAACCCAGTGGGGAAATCTCGAAAAGGGAAAACCCGTCCCTACCTACTGCAGCACTGCCTCCAACTCCCGCCGTTCTCCTTCCTAATCCGTCGAACTCGATGGAGTTCTCTCGATTCGTTGTTACCCCGTAACACCACAGGAGCGAAGGGCGACGGCGACGGAGGCGACGGGCGGAGGTCCGGCGAAGTACGGCGAACCGACCGGAGAGACGAAGACGGTACCCGCGAACGGGGGACAGACGCTGGAGTCTGGGGAGGGGGGAGAGGAGAAGCGTCGAAGGGACGGGGCGGGATGTCCCGGGCAGAGGAAACGGGACAGAAGGAGCAGGGGCCAGACGTGCATGAAGCACAACGGAGGGCCTTGTTGTGTGGCCTGACTGCCTTGAGGCAGGGCCAGTTTGGACGATTATACGTGATAATCTCACGTCTACTAATTAGCAGGAGTAACTTCGGCGTAGTAGGAATAGGTGGACTCACCGGCAACGATCACACGCTTCGTCAACACCAACCGCGATCCAACGACCAGGCTCGGACTTCATCTTCTCCCACAAGTACTCTTCTTCCCGCAGTGATCTCTTCACCCGTTTGGGCGAAGGCTCCCCTCTGGGAGAAGGGGGGGGAGCAGCGACGGGGGCGGCGGTAGCAGGACCGGCGGCGGCGGCGGCAGCAGCGGCGGCAGCGGCGATGGCGTTGGGGGGGGGGGAGAACCCCGGAAGAGGAAGAAGAAGAGGAAGAAGAAGAAGAGGAAGAAGAAGAAGAGGAAGAAGAAGAAGAGGAGAGGGAACGGCGTCGTTTCTGGCCCACAATTTGAGCAGGGGGAGGGGCAGGAGCGGCTGCGAGTTAGCAATGTCTTGGGGAGCTAAAGAACAGATAAACAAGGCCAAGTTCGGCGAAGGTGTGAGAGGTTGGACGAAGAACTCACGCTCAGGACTATCTACGTTGTTGTCCTCTACACTAACCGCCACCATATCATCATCCGAGTGTTCCTCTAACTCGGTTTCACCCTCCGACACGACTCTATCATCCTCATCACTATAATCACCCCCTTTTCCTTCGAAGTCTGACTGATCGTCCGACTCCGAACCACTGAGCGACTCCTGGTCGGAGGAGGACGGAGACTCACCAGGACGAAAGGCGGGCGTCCTGCGGCGAGGGCTGGCGGCAGGAGGAGAAGCAGAGGGAGAACCAGCGGGAGGACCGGCGGGAGGAGAAGCGGAGCGAGGAGGCGGGACATCGCCAGACGGCTCCCCCAAAGAGAGGGTGCCGAGGCCGAGGGAGGAGACTTGGCGAGATCTGTCGCCGAAGGAAACTGAACATCAGCCAAGTCCGGCGAAGTAAGGTAAGTGTCGAGGAATAACTCACGAGCAGACGACACCATACCACCAAAGTTCCTCATGGCGGCGAAAGGGTTAGAGGTGGGAGTAGGAGGGGCCATGACGTTAAAAATACTTAAAGAAATAAAAGATGATTCAAGGTAACAAATCTGTTTTCTAGGTAAGAGAGATAGAAAGTTTTGAAAGCAGATGGGAAAAAGAGAGAAGCTCGACGAACTGCTCAGTATTTAGTATAATCAAACCTACCCCCTCGTCGTCAACATGCAGCAAACTTCGCGTTTCATCAACAAAAGGCATCGCAGGGACGATCAAAATTCCCACGCTATAGTGTCTCATCTCAATATAAGCGAGGGTTACTTCGACAAACAACGGTGTTGTTCGGCTGCCATTCAGGAAGCGTGTCTCACCTACAAAAGACACAGGGCTTCTTACGGCAAACCTCGACGAAGTTAGGGGAGTCTCATTGTCGGGTTTTGGAGTGAAAGGAGGCCCAACTACGAAGTGCGGCGCAAAGAGCAGAAGGGTGAAGGATGGTCATGGGGAGGGAGAGAATGGGGGTACTACGCTGCTAAGTTCTCTTGACACGACAGAGGTGTAATCGCTCACGAGGACGTTCGCGGCTAAAGAAGGGGGCGACTGTCACGAACTACGTCGCGACACCTCGATTACTCCACCAACAATGACCCTCCTTTGGCCATCAAAACCCCATCACGCCTTAACCTCTTTACTCTACACGTAACTCAGGACTTCTGACACCAAGTACGGCGAAGTTAGACGGAGTTAGGCTAAGTAGGGACAATGGGAGCAGAAGTACGGCGAAGTTAGACGGAGTTAGGCTAAGTAGGGACAATGGGAGCAGAAGTGCGGCGATGTTAGGCGGAGTTAGTCGAAGGAGGAAGAGGATGGCCGAGGGCTCGGGGAAGTTGGACGAAGTGCGTTGAAGTACGTCAAAGCGCGAGAGGGTTGGATGAACGTCTAGGAGGAGTAGATAATATTAGCTGAGAAGATCGCTGAAGTTCTTCAGCGATCCTTGATTGTTGTCAGTAGTAAAAGACAGATAGAGATAGCTATAAATCAAGATACATCGCCATCAGTAGATCAAAACCCTAGTTAGAGTAACTACGCCGAAGTACGCCGTAGTTACACCCCTTTCGACGTCTGCGCCCTCCTGGTTGGGTGAGACATCGACTCAGAGCGTGAAGTTAGCCGAGGTTCGTCGACCGTCGGTCTATTAAGAAGTAGTTGTTCGACGGCCGTGACAGCTGGAAATCTTAGGAGACTTCAACATAGAGATCACTTATCGACCAGGTAGCAAAAATGGGGGAGCAGATGCTTTAACAAGACGAGGGGATTATCACCCGGGAAAAGGAAGTAGTAAGGACCCAGATCTAAACAAAGGAAACTGGCTACAATTACTACCCACATACGAGAAACATGGATCGAATTCGATAGACTCAGAAACCCGACACATAGTAAGGGGAGCAATCCGAGAAGACTCATTATTTGGACTCATCAAAAACGGACTCAAAGACTCAGAAGACATAGCAAACATACGACGACTAGGACTGCAATTGACACAGACACATAGTACACAGGACACACAGACACATAGTACACAGGACACACAGACACATAGCACACAGGACACACAGAAGACACAGATTAGCAACGAGACACCGGTGGTATCATGGACTCAAAGCGGATTGCTCTTGTACAAGAATAGAGTAGTCATACCAGAGGGACAAGCAAGGTTAGAAGTAATGAGAGCAAGACACGATTCAATATTAGTAGGACACCCAGGAAGAGACAAAACCATCACCATGATCAAAGAGGACTATTATTGGCCCCATTTGGACGATTATATCGCAAAATACGTGAAGGGATGTGAGATCTGTAACCGACATAAGACCCATCGACACCAACCATACGGACATCTAGTCTCATTGCCAGTGCCCACACTTCCGTGGACAGATATCTCGATGGACATGGTAGGACCTTTGCCGAAATCGACAGAATTCGACGCAATTCTAGTAATAGTAGATCGATTAAGCAAGATGGCTCGATTTATTCCATGCACAACCGGACTAACAGCAAACAAGGTGGCTGACATATACATCAAGGAGATCTTTTCAAAGCATGGGGTACCTCGAACAATCGTATCAGACAGGGGAACCCAGTTTACAGCAGAGGTTTGGAAGGAAATATGTCAATTCCTGGGAATAAAGAACCTATATTCAACTGCATATCATCCTCAAACAGACGGCCAGACTGAACGAGTGAACCAACAGATGGAAATCCTACTTGGAATGTATGTGAACTACAACATGGACAATTGGGATCAACTTCTACCAATTGCTGAATTTGCTTATAACTGCTCTCCGCATAGCAGTCATGGGTTGTGTCCGTTCGAAGCATGTTATGGCTATGTGCCACATTACGACATCCATTCGCACGATATTCGATCGAAGTCAAACAAGTTAGAGAAGAAATGGAGAGATATGGGAGAATTGCATACGGCTGTTCAAGAACAGGTCAGAATGGCTAATGAGATTAGTGGGGAATACTACAACAGGAGGCACAAAAGCATCCCAGAAGAATTCAGAGAGGGAGAACAGGTGCTACTAAGTACAAAGTATCTTACGACGGAACGACCCAGTCGAAAATTAGAAGCAAAATACATTGGCCCGTTTAAAATCATAAGGAAGGTCGGAAAAAATGCTTTCGAATTGGATCTACCTCCATCAATGAAGGTGCACAATGTCTTCAATGTGACGCTGTTGGAACCATATCCTAAAGACATGATTCCAGGTCGACAGATACAGCCCCCACCACCGGTAGTAATAAACGGCCAGGAGGAATTCCATGTGGAAGCAATTGTGGACAGCAGAATTCGACGAGGAAAGGAAGAATTCAAGGTAAAATGGTTAGGGTACACAGGAAATGCGGCCTATGACTGGGAACCGCGAGAAAATGTAGAAGAGTTGGCCGTTTTTGGTGAGTTTCTGGAAAGGAGGAAAAAGGATCCCAGAAGAAAGTGAGAATTCGATCAAAATCAACGGAATTTATTGGGAAATAAATACATACACAGGAAATATGGCTACGTATAGAGAGATATAAAATACACTAGAAGTTGGAGGTGGTAGAATTGGCTCGGGGACGACGGACCGAGGCGGGAATACGAATGACATTGCGGGGGAGAGGAGTATGGGGAGAAGAGGAGGGACCGGCGACTGGTTGAGAAGAAGTCAATCCGGTTGGATCAGCAGCAGAGGTGAGATGATCCAAGGTTTCAGAAGGAGAGGGAGGGGTGTAGTTGGAAGGAATGAGATGAAGAGATTTGTAGAGGCCCAGATGTACTGGGGGAAGAGGAAGAAGGAGAGAGGAAAAGAGGTGGATGTAAGCGGAGAGTTGGGTGAGAGAAGAGGATTGATCCTGGGAGGAAAGGGATCGATAACGGGCCGAGACAGCACAGAGTTCGTGCTCCAGGACGAAAGTAACCTTGGAGGTGACAGTCTGAGCTCCGACGGTGACACCCTTGACATCAACATCGATCAAGTTCGAAGGAAGAAGATAGATACCTCGCGAAATTTGGCCTCGGGATTGTTGTTTTTGACCGAACACTTTGAAGTTCCCTTGGCAGAGCACTCTCCACAAACACCACCAACTGAATGGCATCAATATCGAACAGGAATCAATAGAAGACTCACGAGGGCCGATACAACCGACACGAAAATCTTCTCCACCATCGAGACGACGCTGGCAATCGGAGCAGAGCTCACCCTCGAGACGGGCGACAGCACCATTCTTGTTGCGGAGTCGCCAACCTTGGGCCAAACGATCGAGCTAACAGTTAGAAGTCGGTAGAATTCGGAAAAGAAGAAGCTCACAGCATTCCTAAACCATTTCGCGGTAAGATTGAGGGAGCCAGTCTCGCGAAAACGATCCAGGGCTTCGTCCTTCAAAGCGATACGAACGGAGGAAAAGGACATTTTGGCCCAGAGAGTGGCTGACGAGTCAGAAAAGCACAGAATTCGATAGAGACCTCACCAATTTCCGAGTCTTTTCGAGCGTCCAGAGCCTTGGCAAGTTCGTCATTAGCGGAAACCTTGCGAGGAGCGCGAAAAATGATTTCGAGCTCGGGGGGAACATTGTCAAGCCCGTCTAAATGTTCAGAGGGTGGCACAGGGGACTTATTACCAGGAGAATTTTGATTCTCGACGATGGTACCGTGTTCGGATTCGACGGACTTGGCGGGAGATGGGTTCTCACCGGTGGCAGATGGGCCTGCCCCACCGTCGAGGTCGAGGAATTGCTCGATAATCGCATCATCGAGAGAAGACGATGGTTGAGTGCGAGAAGGACCGGATTGATATCGATCCTTAATGGTGTCCAGAGCCCTGCGAGAAGCATCAACCAATGGAGGTTGAGAATGGGCTGGAGCTTGAGACGTGATTCGCATCCTTTTCGTTTGACGCATGAGAAGTTCGGGATCGACGTCGGGGAGAATGGCCACAGTAGAGGCCCGAGTTCGGCGAGAAGAGGTAGAAGGGGACAACTAATCTCGTCAGCCAGTGAGAGATAGGAGGAAATACATCGAATTCAAAGAGAATTGCTTACAGTACGCTTAAACATGCTTACAAACAGGAAAAGATTTGATGGATTCCCTAAGAGATGAGTAAGATATGGATGGATGTTGATAGGTAAGTGAAAAGAGCGACGAACAAGAGGAAAGGAAGGAATGAGGAGGAAAGAAGAGAAAGAGGAGGGAAAAGAACTTGGTCAGTAATTTCTCGATCACAGTGGAGGTCCGTGCGGGTGACGCGTTTCATGGCAACCGTCACGCTAGCGTGGGTGTGACGTAAGGGCGCAATCAAAGGTGTCTCAGAGCAATCCATGTGAATCACCTGGTTACAGGATTCAGGATCCTCGGCGAGGATCCTTGAGACAGGGGGGGAAACTTGTTACGGAGTAACACGACTCGAGGGACATCCATCGAACTCGACGGATTAGGAAGGAAAACGGCGAGAGTTGGAGGCAGTGCTGCAGTAGGTAGGGACGGGTTTTCCCTTTTCGAGATTTCCCCACTGGGTTTGCTCAAAAGCGGTTTTTCACCTGTCCGAGTATGTACATAGACGCTTGCAGTAGGACTGAGAAGAGGACACGAATACCTGTAGACAAGTATATAGTACAATCAGCAAAGTACCAACTTTGCTGATTCTTCAATATCATTCTTTGGCTACATCGATTGCAGAGGAGACACGATCCATTAGCACCAGAGCCCCTAGATTTCCACGAGACATCCATCGAGTTCGACCCAACCTGCGACCTAGTCGTCGTGTTTCCAGTACCGTTACACTCCTCCAACATTCGATATATTCCCGTACAGATCAACTCACGTATAAAGCACAATATGATTCAATTACTCAGGCTCTTAAAAGCGCTCAAGTTAATACGGGAAAGAAGACACATATCAATAGAGCCGGAGGAGCTCAGCTGGCTGAAAGTGAAGGTGTATCAGCTCAAGATATTGCGCGTGCAGGCCATTGGAATCAAGATGTTTTGGAAAATGTCTATCTGGGTCATATGCCTCGTTCAGTATTACGTGCATTGGCCGGGTTTAAGCCTTATGGAAGCCAAGACTACTACCTTCCGCGTGATATTCCTGTACCGGACACTCTACAAAGAATGGTATTTCCCTCGCTTGAAAAATGGTAAGCAAATCTCGTCTGTAAAAGCATTGCTCATGCAAAGGGAAATGGATCTTTCCTTACGGCAAGGTGACGCTATAGACAGACAGGCTATGACGTTTGTTCAGCTCTTGAAACACCTTCGTAAGGTATTCTTTCAAGACATCTGCGCCTGGCGTCAAAAATACCCCGAGCTGTACCTTTGGTCGCATTCCCTGTTTCAAAATGATGAATTCAAGCAATGGGAAGCTTGTTATTTTGACACATGCTCTCTTCGTACGAATAGTCACGATCGTAGGCTAGCTGAAGCCATGCCACAACTTGCATCAACCCTCTCGGCGCATTTCATGAAGCAAACACAAGATAGTAGCGAAATTCATCATAAATTGTCGTCTTTGATCACAACCGCTCAAAATCAAGACGTATCATTGAACCTTAACCAGCAGCAGCTATCTCGGATCCTTGTCGCTTTAAGCCAGCCGATTACCCTACCTAGTATCCTTCAAGGAATTGAAATCACGGCAGGTGAAACACCCGTGCAATCAGAAACAACATCTCGCGCCCTGCAAGCAACGGTGATGCTTGAAAACATTCCTACATCAAGTACAGCAGCAGAAGGTACAGCTTTACCTCCATCAACCATAGTAAATCAACCTAGAGCTGTCTTGACGCCTTTCAGCCTGCTACGAACTTTACGGACCGTAAATCAGGTTTGGGAAGAATATACCACCAGCTTAAACGGCAAACCGTCTGCTAAAATGATGTACGAAAATCCTCAGCATCATTGGGGCGTTGGCGGTGACACAGAGCGGAGGTTTTGGAACCGACGTCTAGTCATTATCAATCAGATCAAGTTAATGGCTCAGACACGATCAATTACGGAAGACGAGGCTGCTAGGGATCTTGATGCGTTTCGTGTTCGACAGCGTCCTTCGTCGCTTAATGCTTTACATGACACACTGAAAGGTATGTCTGAGAGAGAAAAATTACGCCTCTAAAGCTATAACAATGCAAGAAAACCGACGTCGGCCGACGTCGGCCAATGATGGTCCGTTGCAATCATAGTTACCCTCAAAGGATGATGTCAAACTGTTTCATTGCAATCCCGAGCAACAAATGTTGCAGGGCGTCGTTGGTTGAACAATTTTCTACGCAGAAAGTGTAAACAAGTGTACACACAACGAGGATGTATTAAGTGTACTGTCGTAGCTCTTAGCCCACCATTCTTCAACTTTTCTCGTCAATTCAAACTCAGCTATAGCATCAAAATGTCAGATACACCACCTACACCTAAAGTACCTCCTCCAACGCCCAAGCGGTACGCAAACAAGGGAAGTCGTCGCAACGACACCTCTCCAGAAAAGGGAGGATCAGCAGTCGATGAATTTTTTTCAACAACAGTATTGAGTACGTTAGAACCTTTTGTCGAGTCATTGACAGTATCTAATTAGCAGGTGCGTATGAACCGTTCGAATGGGTGCCGGGAACGAAATTCAATCGTCGTGTTTTTCCTCAGGATAGCTCAAAGACATTGGCTTTACTGCCAAACACCTTGAAAGGCGAAGTGTGGGCTATACCACCGAATAAAGAGTTAGAAATAGTGAGCTTGAACTTCTGATGTTAAACTCGACCAGAACAATGCTTATCAATGAACTTAGGTCAAGCGGCACCGTCTGGCGCACAATATCGTGTGTGGCCCCCAATCTGTGATCTGTTCCGGTGTGGCAATGTGTTCACATTGTCAAAATCGAATTACTCGCGATGATGCCGTATCCTTTGGCTGCATAACCGTCAGTGAGAGGGCACAATCAAGCTGTGCTGAGTGCCGTGCAAGAGGAACGAGCAATTGTGATTTTGGGAAGAATGTATTAGAAGAAGAAATCCTAGATGCGTCATTGGCCTCTAACCTTGTTGCCAAGCTCGAAGGATTAGAAGCAATCGTCAGTGGTTTTGGTAAGTACCAGTTAACAATTGTGTGCTATGCTAAATGAAAAGCGGCAATTGATACCTTGATTCCGCCTCAGGTGATTTTGTCTGCTTTAGGTCCGCCTACTCGCGACGGGCATGCACTTGTCAAGCAGCTTAATGCTGCCGTAGCTGCTAATGTCTTCGACACCGACGATCCCTCCTTACGTCGTCGCCGTACCGCGGTCAACCTTCTTCCATCGCCGGTGTTGGAACACGGACAACTTACAGGACTCAGTGCGGGCTGGAACGATGGAGGTATGTCTTTTATCACTCATTATTGTATACAGCACTGACATTAGATATCACGATGGATGACGCTGCGAATAAAGAGCTGAATACCGATCCTGCTGCTGCGGCTGCTACATCCGGTCCTGCGCGGAACTTACGATCGCAACGCAAACCTTCTCAGACTTTTGAACAACGTCTTCGATCTGCTCAAGTCTCCGGAAAGCGAGGGAAGTCTCGTCAGATCTCAGAAAGTAGTCGCTTGTCAACTCCCAACGATTTAGATCGTCAAACGTCGAACGCGAGTGGATCAGGTGCCGGGGTGTCCGACAAGAATACGAATGACAATGATCAAACCATGTTAGATCTGCTGGATGAAACTGGGGGTTAACTTTGTAGCAAATAGTCAATCAATGTATGCACATGTCATGACTGCCTCATTATTACATGCAAAGGTCGAAGACTTTCAGTGATTGCATGAAGCAAACAATGTTGATTGTTGAAATTGAAAGTCAATCGTAAAAAGCGATCGTAGGCCGACGTCGGCCGACGCCGGCTCACGTGGCACGGAAGATTTGGTTACACCGGACGGGCCCGGACGGCCCATATGGACCCCGTCCGGTCCCTATTGGCCCTGAGGTCGTGTAACCATTAGTTATCCTACCCAGCCGTCCGCTCGCGTCCGGACGTCGTCCGCCACGAAGTCACGTGACACCCCCCTTTTTGCCCATAGCGTCCGAGGTCCCGTCCTTGTAACCGCGGTTACAGGAATTACACCATACAGACAGCCGCGGTTACAGACCTCCGCGGGTTCCTGAGTGTGAAAAAAGGGTTACAATGAACAATGCAACGTTATTTTCACTATCTGCAACTGTCTTTCATTCATTTCAGCTCTCTACCACCTGCTTTTGCTTTATTCAACTATACAATGTCTCGTCAAAACCGTCTTAACGCTACTATACATGATGAGATTGCAGATTGTTGGAATACGTCAGATAATTGGCGTGAAGACTTTGGGGAACTTGAAAAAATGAGTAATGCTTCCTCAACACAAGCTCATTACCAAGTACGCATACGAAGATGGCAAGAATGGTGTCAAAGAATGAAGTTTAGCACTGGGTACGTGACTTCGTATGAGATGGCCGACGTCGGCCGACGTCGGCGGCAGATTGCTTGATGGGGCAAAGTAGGAACGATCAAAAGATGCTAATTGTTCTAGAGATACGGTTACGCCAGAGTACGCCCTTAGATGGATATATACGCAAGTGTTATTTTATCCCAATAATCGTACAGATACAAGCAAAAGACAACGTCAAAGTACACCTGAGGAAGCAGAGACATCAATTGCTGGAGCAAGAAAAGCAAGTTCTGATTTGCTGCCCGCATACTCAATTGAAGATGTTAAAACTAGTCTTGATACGTTAGAGGAAAGTCAACTACGAGCTTTGGATGTAGTTGAAGACCTAACTCGAGGAGGAAAAGTGCCTACAACAACAGCTAGGGAAAGTGGTGTGTTCATCTGCTGCCTTTAACATAAAGCGTTTGCTGAATGCCAGTTTTGTTAAAGCTTAGCCGAATGACGCAAAGTTTAGCGTCAATCAAACTGCATGTAGCTGCTCTGGTCAGTCTATGGAAACAGCAAAAATACAAAGGCATGAACAGTCATCCTCACCCGCGCTCGGCAGCAATGAAAAGCCTTTTGTTAGTCTTAAGACGAGTAGATGAACAAACGAAAAGGGAAATGTTCATCGA